GGCTCCGCCTCGGAGCGGCCCGAGCGGCCCCCCCGCCGCGCTCCCCCTCCCCGCCTGCCCCCGGTCCCTGCCCGCCCCCGGCCGGGCCCCTCCTCGGTGGGGCTGCCGGGCCCCACGTCCCCCCCGCCGTCCTGGGGAGTCCGGATCCCCACGACCCCTCGCCAGGTGCTGGCAGCCCAGGGGCCTTAACGGGGCGGGCGGCAGCGCGTGGGGCAGTGTGTGGGTCTTGCCAGGGGGCACCAGGGCCCGGGCTCTGCAGCACTGGGCCCTGCCTGGTGGCTGATGGTGGAGGTGCTGGGTCCAGAACGAGCCTGGTCTGTGTGGGACGCTACCCGTGACCCAGCGCCACCCTGGTCCCCATGGATCAGCTGCCACCCCACGGGAGCTCCAGTCCCCAGAGCAGCCCTGGCCCCTTGGCCCTCGCCCACACCAGGGAGCTGCTGGCGGGTCCCGTCGCGTTCGTCCCGCTGCATGCGGGGCTGCCCGGGCGCGCGGCTCCCCCGGCTGCAGCCGCTGTCAGCCCCGCCGGCGCGGGAGCCATAAACACTCCTTCCCAGAGACGTGTCTTGCACGCGGGGCCACATGTTAACAGTTTTTCTTTATTTACTGCCTCCATTTCCTCTTTGTTCCAGGAACTTGTCCTCCAACTTCAAGCTGCTCGTGATTAGGCAAAAAGGCCTCTAATCTCCCCGATCTGATTTACCGGCACTGAGAGCAGCCGCTTCCCGTTACTGGCCCTGGACCCGGGAGCGCGGCCGGCCGGGCCGCTGGCTCCCTCATGTGCTCCTCCCGACTGCCCGGCGCACGTGCCACTTCCCAGCAGCTTCCTCTGCCCGTAAGCGCGGGCCAGGCCGGGCCGGGATGCTGCCCGGGGCCGGGGATGGGCACCCAGGTGCTTCCCGCGCTCCGGCTGCCCCAGCGCCTGCTGCCAGCACATCCCTGTGGCTCCTCGGCCGCTGCCACCGCGACCTGCACCGAGCAGCGCTGTCGTCGTGTCGCTGGCTGTGCTGCCACCACCTGCCCGGCGTCTCCGCGGCTCCCGCGCTGGCACCACTCGTGGCAGCGCTGCAGCGATGCTCTCCCCGTGGCTAAAATTAGCGTCTGGGCCGGGGCACTGGAGCGGCGCCACGTCCCGCCGGGGAGGATCGGGTTTCCCTGCGCCCTCCCCGACGCGGCAGCTGGCAGCGGCGCGGGGCGATTCCCGGAGCCACTCGGACCCCCCTGCCTCCGGCGCCACGGGAGCCGCGGGGAGCCCGGCCCCGGCCCCCTCGGCCTCCCGCCCGCCCCTGCTGCCGGCACCGACCGCGGGGGCCCGCGCCGGGGCTGGGGCCGCGCTGGGAGGGCGGCTGGGCCGGCTGCCCAGGGGACGGGTGGCCGGGGACGTGCAGGACTCGCCGGAGCGCAGATGGGGCCGCACATCAGGGCCGGGGAGCACGGGGGCAGCTCTGCGCTGGGGCATCAGGAGCCGCTGCCAGTGCCTGGCTCCCGGCAGAGCCCACCCGGCTTTGGGGGGGTCCCGAGTGACCCTGCTGCAGAACCTGGGGGTCTCCACGTGCTGCTCTGCTGCACCAGGCCTGGCTGCCCTGGGGCCTGGCTGCGCAGGCACGGCTGGCACAGGGGAAGGGGCTCCACAGATCACAGGCCCCCCATGCAGGTGCTGCGGGTCTGGTGGGAACCGCAGAGCCAAGTCTTGTCCCTGTGTTGGGAAGGAGGGGACCCGCCTGGGATGCGGGCGGTGCCGGGGCCGGGCTGGGGCCGCGCCAGCCCTGTGCAGCCCAGCGAGCGGGACGGCGCTGCCCATGTCCCGTGCCTGGTGCCGGTGCCTGGTTGGCACGTGCCAGGGTGCCCGGCCGCCTGCGTCGCGGGATGCCGTCCTGCTGCCGCCAGGCGCAGGGCCGCTCGGTGCTGCGGGAGCCGCTCGCGGGCGGCCGGGAGGGCAGCGGTGCCGCGGGCCCACGTGGCGCCCGGCCGGGGGGCCGGGGTCCCGGGGCGCCCGTGAGCGACCTGCGGGCCGGGCTGTGCCGTGACCCCTCCCCCCCCCCCTCCCTGCGCCGGCAACAACTTTTCCAGTAAAAGCGCTGCAGAAATCCCTGCTTCCCGACAGGCCCGCCCCCCGGCCGCGGGGGGGCCCGCTGCGCGCTTAACCCTTCCCCGCCGGGTGCAGGTGGCGGCTGCGCGGGCAGCGCCCGCCGAGGGCACGTGCTGCAGGGCCGGGCCAGGAGGCGCCGGGCGCTGGCCGGGAACGCAGCCGGACAGGGTGTCCCGGGAGGCCGGCGCCATGGGCGGCCTGTGGCGCTGCTGAGCCAAGGGGGCCGCGTATCCCATGCCAAGGGGCCCGTTTGTCCCATGCCGAGGGGCCCGTGTGTCCCGTGGCGGGGCTGTGCCAAGGCCCTGAGTGTCCTGCAGCACTGCTGAGCCAAGGGGCAGAGTATCCCACACCGAGGGTGCTGCACGTCCCATGCCGAGGGTGCCAGGTCCCCTGCGGTGGTGCTGTAGGGGAACCCACAGACCCCAGGGGCCCAGGTGTCTCAGGCACCCAGGAGGGATCCCTCTGTCCAGGATGGAGCCTCCTGGCACATGGTCCCGGCTGGGCTGGTGCCCGGGGCCGTTCCCGTCCTGCCGGGACGAGGGCCGACGGCAGTGGCGGAGGCGGGAGCCGTGCGGGTCCCTCGGGGGCTCTGCTGCCCCAGGCCCCCTTGCAGCCGCGCGGCTCGGCCAGGGCACAGGCAAGTGCTGCAATTGTTTCTCTGTGGCCCGAGATGAATAATTGAGAGGCCTTTGAGGAGAATTAATTAGCCCGTTTATTGGCAGTAAATGCTCTTCTCCAGATGATGAAGTAGATCCTGAGCCACACGTGGGGAGGGAGGATGCAGGTCGCCGAGGCTGTCGGGGCCGGGGGCTGATCCGGCACCTGCGCTCCTGCAGCTGGGAATTCCCACATGGGAATCCGGGCACGGGCAGCCCCGAGGGCAGGTGGAGCGGGCAGGGCTGCATGGAGAGTCCCTGTGTCCCCAGCGGTCACCAGCCCGGCTGCCACACTCTGTCCCCACGGTCCCTGCTCCCTCCTGGCTCACAGCCCTCCCCAGGGCTCCATCCCTGGGCCAGCCCTGTCGTGTCCCTTGCACCTCCTTCGCTGTGGCTGTCCCCATGGTGCCAGCCTGGGGCTCGTGCCCTGCACCTCCTCCTCCTCCTCCTCCTCCTCCTCCTCCTCCCCTGGGTGTGAGGGGAAGGGCCGAGCGTGGCCAGAAATGCTTAAACAAGGATTTCCTTGTTGCTGCATGAGCTGTTTGCCTTGCTCCCAGGCCAGCCGTTAATGAGGTTTGGCAGGAGGTGCTGGCAGCCCCAGCCATCGGCTTTCTATAAATCACTGCGGTGCTAACGCACGGGTTTGTGGCAGCAGCAGGGCCGGGGCCGGGGGACCCTCCGAGGGGCCGCGGGGACGGGGAGGCCGATGCTGGGTGCTCTGAGCCCCAGCACCGACACTCACAGCTTCACAGGGGCATCCGCGCAGAGAGAGGCCCCGCGAGGCGGCGGTGGCGGGGCGAGCACCGGCCCTGTGTCCTCCCCACGGTGACACACATGGTGTCCCATCCCCAGGGCCCGGAGCGTGGCATGCAAAGCAGGGCAGGCAAATTACCCGGCCCTCCGGGAAGCGGCCGCTCAGCTGTGGCTGGTGGCCCACGGCCGCGGTAGCTGGTCGCTGCCGGGAAGCGGCGCCGGAGGCGGCGTGGGCACCACGGCTGCTGGAGCGGCCAGCACAGCCAGCATGGCCCTGGGGCTGCAACGGGGCCACCGAGTGTCCCCTGTGCCAGGGGCTCCTGCCCCAAGCTCTCTGTCCTGTGCAGGGTCCCAGGCTCCGGGGCCTTGGGAATGTGGCAGGCGCAGGGTGCAAAGTGCAGGGTCCAGGTTGCAGGGTCCAGGGAACAGGGCACAGGAAGCAGGGTGCATGGGTGCAGCAGGGTGCAGGGCACAAGGCACAGGATGCCGGGTGCAGGGAGAAGGGCACAGGCTGCAGGGCGCAGCAGGGTGCAGCCTGGTGCATGGCACAGGGTGCAGGGTGCAGCAGAGTGCATGGCATAGGGTGCAGGGAGCGGGGCTCAGGGTGCAGGGCGGGTGCCCCTGCCCTGCCGGCTGGGACGCAGTGCCGCTGGCAGCACCGAGTGCGGATGGCTGCACTGGGGGCTGTGTGAAGTTGCCCTTCAGCGTTTTGCTCCGCAGCGTTTTGACGGGGACAGGAGCAGGCAGGACACAGCACCAGGAAGCAGGACGTGTTCTCTCGGGCCCTGCCGCAGCACGTGAGGCTGGCAGGGGCAGCCAGGCTGCTTGTTTCCTGCTCCGCGGGGCTGCTCTGCTCCGGGAGCTGCGGGGGGACCGCGGTGCCGGGGCCCCCATCCCGCCCGGAGCGAGGCCGAGCCCTGTGCGGGCGCCTGCGCAGCCCAGGGCATGGGGTGCTCTGCATCACGCACCATTGGGCTCTGGGACACCCGGATCACTGCCCCGGGACCACCCGGGGGCCCTGGCCATGCGAGGCAGGGGGATACATCCCCCTCCCCGCCGCTGCTCCTCGGCCTTCACCAGACAGGGCACGGGCCGCCCCACTTCCCTCTGGCTGTTTTGAAATTCCTCCACTCTTACGGAAAAGCCCCCGGGCGGGATTCCTGCACCCGGTGATTCACGGGGCG